TATGGCTGGGTTAAGTTCTGACCATTCCCTGCTAAGTTGAATCAAGCCCTACAGAATGGTACCTCAAGTTCGGCGAAAGAAGTGAAAGCGAAGAGTTATTAACGATCAAACAGTGTTCACACTTTCTTGGGGCACCCTGCATGTTACGCCATACTTCATAATCACCAAATTTTACCAAGCATATAGAGCGTAAGCGACAACTAATTTAGATGATACAAAAATAGAGTCTGAGGTGCATAATTCGCACACTTGGCTACCTCTTTATAATTGCTTACGGTATGCAAATTAAGTCATTCGAAGCTTCCGCTCCTTGCTTCCTATTCTTATTGTAGATGTTATTGTACAAATTATCTGCATCAGCAGCCTTTACAGTATTGCTCAGATGGACTCTGACCTCACTAATTGATATAGATGTGCAGCTTTTCCTTCCGCGTCAGGAATTTTTTCGCTTCACTTGAAAAAAGACTCACCTGACATACGAAAGCAGCGTGAATGGCACAATAGCAATGATGAGGTAGGTAAGTTTGCTGAGTTGTAACGTCGGCCAAACAGCGTTGAGAACCTAAGAAAGTAGTGATTAGGTCAGAGAAAGTTCTACTCTTCATCCTATAGCAAGCCATCCTTTGTTTACAGTCGCGTCTTTAATTTATTACGAGTTCCATCCCTCTGAACAAAAGTGAATTTCTAATTCATGAGAATCTGCATTACTTAACTGAATCATGTCAATCCCTCTTATTAGTCTGCTCAAAGCTTTATGCATTCTACTTTCGCAAATCATTTTATTTTGGGATTTTTATGTTTATTCTAACTTCTACATTCTGTTGTTTTTCACTTCCATCTACTATGGTACAGGGGAACCTCGAAAGTGTACAGATTTACTGTTTGATTGTCAAAATCTCTACCTCTGTAGCTTATTCCGTAGACATTTAGGTATCAATTTGTAAAACTAACTTCAGCCAAATCTGCGCTATAAAACAAATCGTTAATCTTTTTTCGTTACTTCAAGATTATGGAGTAAATTTCAAGAAGATTTGGCCCAATAAGGGATGTATATGCAGTATCGCGGCCTTGTTTCCATTGAAAGTGCATTATTTACAATCCAAAATCTATTTTTCAAAGTAAAAAGGACCCCTTACCTGGATTGCATGATCGACGACGAAGATGTAGTAAATTGAGCATACTCCAAGAACAAGACTCGATAAACACAGGTTGACGATGCGCCTAAACAAGATCATTAAAATTTACTCTGAAAACTTAAAAGATAAATCCAATCGCTGTGACTCATCCTCTTCTTCTGAAATCTTTGAGAATTTTCGAATAAATATTAAAGTTCCCAAATAGAAATAAAAAATTAATTTCTAACACAGCTTCTATTTATAACATTTCTGGGAATTTTTAGAACACTTATACAGTCACGGCGGAATTTCTAGCACTTGCAAAAGAAATTTTGTAAAATTCATAGTTCCGTTACATAACAAAGGTTCTACTTATAGAATGCTTGTGATAATTCTGTAGGCATAAGGGCTATATAACTTAACCGATTTCGCTGTAACATCTAGTTACTTCCATTAATTTCATTCTCACTTTTTCCA